ATGCCCCTATGTATACACAGAAAATTGAAGAAGTAATCGGATTCTGAACTTGTAAATACCTAGCAAAATCATTTGAAAACCATAAGGTATACTTTCTACCATCATTTCCTTTGTTTCTACCTGAGCAGATCATTAAAATTCAATTGGGCCAATTTCTGTAGAAATCGCCCCCCGTCCTTTCGCTAGAATCTCACTTCAACCAATCCCGACAAATGCACTATCAGAGATAGATTTTTTCTCTAATTACGATGTAACATATTTTATCTGTTAATGAAAATGATATTTGACTGCGAAAAACTGGCATTTTTTGGAAAATCAAAAAATGTTAAACTTACTAGTCGCTATATTGATTTCAAAATATCTGACGCTGTTCCCCATTCCTAACATCGAAATAAAGTTCCTCTTGTGGAGAATTAAATGCTCTATCAGATGAAGTAGTCAAATTTTTTGTTAACTTAAAAGCCATAATAAAAAAGAAAAAATACTAACAAATTTCTAAAAAAAAAATTTGTCTTTCTTGAAAAAAAAAATTTTTCCAAAAAATATCCAAACACTGTAACGAAATAAAGTATACTAATAGATGCAACAACTGTACGCGCGCTTTCGAATGAGACGTTCCCCAGCATTGTACGACATAATTTGGCTTCAGAAAGTCAAAATTACTGAAAATTCGCTTTTTTTCACGTTTTGTGAGGGTGTTGATATTGAAATGCTTGTAGCTGCGTAAGGAAACGGCACAAAAGTCTAAAAAAAATTTCGTTATCTTAGTTTTTTGCGTAGAATCGAATGATATAAAAAAAGGCATGTTAAAAATTTTCATGTTACGGCTTATCAGACCTGTACTCGATACTCTCATGGAACGTCTCTTAAATATTTTCACCGTATGAACAAAAGAAAGTCAATTATTCAATTCTATTCTCATGTAGTACGATCTCTTTAATCCGAAGTAAATAAAGACAAAAAATAGTTCATCGATATATGTTTCAGCTCAGAATGACAAATCAAGCAGGAAAACAGAGTGAAGAGGATTCATTTAATTATTTACGTTCTTTGATCTTTTCGCTGAAATCAATCCTTTTGTTGAACTGTATTATCATTTTATATAGATAGATATCATGTGGTTAATATTGTATCAATAGTAATAATTCGAGCATTCATAAGAGAACGAACTAGCACGTTTGAAACAGAAGAAATGAAAATCAGGAAAATTAGAAAAAAGCAGAAAGCCATCAGAAATAATGTTCAAAATCAGAAGATCTGGCCAGTCTGAAGTGCAGGGATATGGCTATAAGGGCATAGGTATAGGAGTATAGGGTTATAACGATGAGGGTATATATCTAAGGGTACAGTTATATGGTTGTAGTCATTACAGTACAATGTATGGAAATTGTTAATGCACTAAAATGCATTTTAAAAGAAATAATGTATACAATTACATGATAATGCAACCCAAATAACGGATTATAATGCATTGTTATATTTCTCCATTGCAATGAGTTAAAAGAGATAATGCATTATAATGCATTATTTGGGTTGCATTAAAATGTAATTGCATCCAGTGCATTTTCTATTGAACAATAATGCACTGCAATGCACATTATTTCTACAAATCGGCTGCATGTGCTATGATAGCGAAACCACGGTATACATGAGTTGCGACTTGTGGATATTCTTTCTTTCAATTTCTTTTCACACTTCGTCAATTAGTTTTGTGGACCGGTGACAAATTTTGCAATGTAATCAAAACGAGTTGCAAAGACAAAAAAAATCATGACTTAATACCAATGATTGCGATTTTGAGCACATAGAACTCTTTTAAGTATAAACCGAAACATGCAACACAATATAGATTTGAATACTATGCAGGAGAGAAATATGTTTTAGACCCTAATCGGGTTGAATTTCTTTATTTTTATTTCGAATTTCCTTTCGGTTTTATCAAAAGGGAACGCTAAATAAGAACCAAGTACAGCAAAAAACAACTACTACTACGTGCACAAGCATAATAAAATATTATGAATATGAGAAAAGCATCATGTTAATGAGTAAAGTAGAAGAAAGAAGTTGGTAGCATCATAGAGTTGTATTGTTGAGCTCCCGTTTTTTCACTATGTAATCATTTACTTGTGACCAATACTTTCTAATATACGAAGTGTTGGCTCGATTGATCTCATATGAATTTGAGATTTCGGATGAGAAACTCCAGCGAGAGCACTTTCGACCATAGACAGAAACACTTCCGAACCGGCCACGTAGACATGTGTGTCTGGATGTAACTTTTCTTCGAGATGGGTCTTTGAAATTGGTTCTTCTTGAGTCAAGATTAAGTAATGCTTTTTTGAAAGAATTTTATATAATCTTCCGGCAAACGCAGCATGTTCTAAGGTTCGTACACACTGAATTAATGATACCGAATCAGCTTTTCCTTGTTGGTTCAATTCTTGGATCATTGCCATGAAAGAAGTAATACCGATACCACCACTAACAAATAAATGATGTTTGCCATCCTTGGCGAGTGAAAAACTACCAGCAGGAGATGAGAGTAAAATTGTGCTGCCAACTGCATGGTGGCGAATAATTTCTTCCGAGACAATGCTGTTCTGATCAAGATCATTTCCTTGTTTAAAAGCCACAGTATAAGTGTCACCATTACATGGATCAATCAGAGGGTAGTGTCCATGATGAAGTACGCCACCTTTTTCGACGCGTATTGTAACATATTGTGCAGAATGATAATCAAACAATTTTCCACCATCATGACGTTCCAATGTTATAGCATAAATCGGTCCACTTGCGATGGGTTCTTTCTTGACAATAGTGAATGGAACGAAACCTTTATCGCGTTCATCGCTGCCAAGTTTGGCGTACAATTCCTTCTCCAATTTTATGAAGGTTGCTGCAATAAGATCGTACACAGCTTGCCATGCAGCCATTAATTCAGGTGTCGCTTTGTCTCCCATATGTTCTTTGATTGCTTGCAATAAATACTTGCCGACAATAGGATAGTGTTCTGGTTTAACCGTAATGGCGCGATGTTTGCTAGAGATGCGTGCCATCTGAGGTATCATTACATCCAAATTGTCAAGATGCTCGACAAAATAATAGACGGTTTGTGCCAATGCCATAGGTTGCTTTCCGGTTTTTTGATTTGTCTGGTTGAAAAAATTGCGCATTTCTGGATGTTCTTTGAACATTGTAGAATAGAATTTCGTTGTTATTTCTTTACCATGTTCCTTGATCACGGATATATTTGATTGAAGAAGATTCTTTTGTTCGGCGGTAACACTCATTTTGATTCTAGAACACAAAGCAGAATTTGTTTGTTTCGTTGACAAAAAAACACGGCTAGAACTCAGTCATTATCTGTATTGCAAGTCAGAATCATCAGAAGATGATTAAGAGCATAGGCACAAAAAGAAATAATGGAGCATCACAGCCTCTAATAAGAAAAAAAGTGATCTATCAGAAGGCCAGATTTCTAGAGGTCTTTGTTTTTCGTGCTTTTAGTATCATAATAAGTTCCAGAAAAAAATCTGACTTTCATTGATTCTTTCTGATAAAAAAAACTTGACGAAATTAACACTAGTATGATCTGATTTAAAATAGATTTTCTGGTTTTCAGTCGACTTTTTGTGATGGTTATTCCATTTTAATCCTTTTTAATCGATTATTAGAATTTAATCGGTTTTAATCTATTGAAACAAATCTATCAGTGATCGGTTTCAATTGATTAAATTTTAATAAAATGAGACTAAAGTTGACAGACATATTTCAATTAATCAAAATGTAACACAATCGATTCCTATCTAATTTATCGACATTTTATGTTACTTGAAAAAGGTTCAATTAAGATGCATATCTTAAAATGTAGCTTGTATGTCAAAGATTGATCTAGTATTATGCTTACCTTTTGTTGAGCTGATGTGTTTGAAGAAGCAATCAAGAATTTGGGTTCTAAAATGAAACAAGAGAAACATGTTTTTTACTCTCATTGAAGTTCGAATCAATCAAAACCTAAATAATCGATTTCAATTCTTTAAAACTGAAATAATCTGCTCAAAATCAGATTGTTTTAAAGTTTTCCTTTTTACATTAACCGTTCATTGGTGTTCATATAAAACGCGAGCGGTCAATCTGAACCCATAGATTTCTTTCCAAAAGGTTTTGGTTGATGGCTTTGACTGAACTTCACAGAGTCCATCAGAAACCCTGATCATTAATTTTTATTAAATATACTAAAGATAAAGGTATACTAACTCTAAGTGTATTAGATGAAAAATCGAATAAAACTAAATCAACAATAACTCTAATGAGGAAACCGTCGCGAGTGAGTAATCTCTTTTAAGCTATGACTATATTCAATCGATAGACCTTAGTGAGCAGATAGATACTCTAAAGTGGTTGAATTTCCTGGACTTTTCTCGCTGATATATTGAATTTTTAGTGGATTTCCCCTGCAGGATTCCACTTTTCGTCCTAAATTATATTTTCGAATTCTGGCCTGAAAATTTGCCTGCACAAAGACTTTATCGGAGGTAGCTTTAATCAAAATTTCCAAATTTTTTAATAAAGTCTCTCTGAGTTATCAATTTTTCAAGATATAGGCTCTTTTCCATAACTAATGTAATATAAAGCGTGCATCTATTGAAAAATTCATATCACGCTGAGAATTTATTCGAAAATTCAGAAACTTCTATGCAAGCTAGTTCAGTTGCGGTCTTCGTGCAGGCAAATTTTCAGGGCAAAATTAGAAAACATAATTTAGCTCGAAAACTGGGGTTCTGCAGGAGAAATTCACTAAAATTTCAACATCTTCATGACAAAACTCCTGAAAATCGAACCACTCTAGGATATTTATCTATTCACTAAATCCTATTGATTGAATGACTACCTGAGAAGATTCTCTCGTTAATGTGTTAAATTAAAAAAAGCCGCTATCTCCTTTTAAATAGACAAATTCATGTTACTGATTAAGATGTATTTAAATTGGATTGACATTATCTCGATCTATTCTAGATCAATGAAATCACTGTTTATATGAAAATAGGATAAAATTAAAGAATATTAACTGTATCTCTATTAAATGGAAAAATGATGTTTTATGCTAACGATGGATT